TATGGATGCACACTTATCATGAAGGTTGTCCGGAGAAAAACAAAACTAATACCAGTGAGTTTTAAGTATCATGGTTTATTAATTATATTTTGCAAATATATAATGTTTTTATAATACTAACATTTTACTTAAGCTTATAATGAATTTTTAAAAGAAAGTTTTCTTTATTCCTTAAAATTTCACTGTAAATAAAAAAATGTAATGCTACAATTTTGAAATTAATTAACTTTCCCTTAAGTTTATCTTATATTATATCATTTAAAAAATAACGACTAATATAAAGATTATTTAAAAGTAGGCATTCGGCCTAAATGTAGCCATTAGTACTAAAATAGTGTTTCCGGATTATGTCATGGTATGTGTTGCGGTAAATCAAATAAATTCATCTATATCTTAGTACATGCTATTTCTAAAGTAGTCAACATGTTCTTTTGCGCTAAAGAAAGCTTTTCGCTGAAAAAAAGATTTTTTATTCAGCTGAAGTGCAACCATGGAAGTAGATATTATCTCAAGAAGTACGTTATAGAACATTGAACAATATGGTTCTATATTTTAAATTATACCAGATAGTATTATGTATTAACTTATGATCTGTTTTTCTACAAAAAATTAAAGGAAAAAGTTTTAACTGCAATCCGCCATTAAACCTCATTTATCGAACGAATATTGAGAATTTCATTGCTGTTATTTGATGTGTACTAAAAATGGTAATTGATAAAAAAAAATTCGTTAAACTTCGGTTACGAAGTTTAACAAACTACTATTACTGCAAATATTTGTTTAACTTTGGTTACAAAGTTTATCAAATAATGTTTATTCTTTGTGATAACGTTTTTTAATCTACTACTTTTTATCATATTCATTAATGATTTTGCCAGACACCTCTGTACACTATATAAACCTTTATGTCAAGTTATCGGAGTCATCAAATTAAAGTCAAAAAGGCTGCAAGATGCTACGATTCTTCAAGCTGATATAGATAAAATAGTTGATTGGTCGCACAAGTGGGTAATACTTGTTAACATCGATAAATGCAGGTTTATGCATGTTGGACACATTAACAAGTCAACACACGCATACACAATGACACAGTCATATGGAACTCGTTGTACATTGAAAGAAACAATAGTTGAACGAGACCTTGGGATTATTGTTTTGAATGAGTTATTGGTCATAACTCATGTCGAAACAGCAGTCTCAATTGCAAAGATTTTTTACTCTTCTGCATTTTTTATTCTATCAAATCTAAGTAGTAGTTGTGTTTTTGTGCAAAAAAATTACCCAAAGACCTTCAGCACCTTATTATATTGCTGTTAAGCAACACGCGTTCAAAAAAACTACAATCATTTACGCAAAATCGAAGCTCTCGGCTTACTTTCATGTCTATCGAATTTTTGAATATCCTTCTTTGTTTTCTAATACAAAAAAATTAAAACAAAAGTCCAAAAGCATTCAAATAACTATCTTGTGTCCTACGTCATCGTTACGACGTTTTACTTTTTTTTTTTTTCTCTATCGTACACACTCAAGAAGTTTCTCATGTCGGTTACAAACCTTTATTTCTTTGGTAATAAACTGGATTTTTTTGGTGTTATCTGGATTTTTATTTATGTTAGAGTTAGCAAAATATCGTTCAATATTTACATTCTTTTTTACGAATCGTAAAAAAGAATGTAAATATTTCTTATTTAGATATTTGATTATTCTAAGAAGGAATCTTTACACTGTCTTTAAAATATAAAAGCAAAAGAAAAAAAAAGTCGAAGCAAACGGGTACAATATTTAAAAAACTTTTAACTTTAATCAAAAAAATAAAACATTGTTTCAATATTTTTAGAGCATAAAGAACAATAATATAATAAAAGAAACAGATGTTCCGTTTTATTATAAAAAGTATTTTACTTTGATAATACTGTGACGAAGAAACGTTTTTTATTCATTAATTAATTCCAAGGAATTAATGCGTCAACCTTACAACCAAAACGCCTTGTTAAATAATATATTATTGAATATATAAAACGGCTTAAAAGATTTCTTTAATGGCAAGGTTGGCATAAATACAGTATATAAACAATATATATAAGAAAACAATTGAGTTTATTTAAACACAAAACAAAATACCTTTATAATGGCAGCCTCGTTGAACCTAAATAAAAAAACCTCAAAACCATATATTTAATCTTAAACTTTAAATATTTATATTATTAGGTTTTGATGTCTTTCCATAAAATTTCACTAGGAGCTTAATTGAGTCAATAAATTAGTGAGATTTTTACAGTTTGCTTTGGATCATTGCCCCATTCGAATTTCAAAATCACAGCTAAATCATCTTCTGCCGTGTGTTATTGTTCTTTAGTAACAAGTTAATTTCTGATTTGTCTTTTTAATTTTTTAAATTAAAACATCTATTGTATACATTTCTGTCTACTAAGATTCCATCAAAAAAACCCGTTTCATGAGAAGCATCTTCAGAAATTACCCCGCCACGTTTTAACAACCTAGTGGTAATTTAGGGTCATATTTTTTTATCCACAAGGTAGCGTACAAACATTTTTCTATCTAGACCCATCTTATTTACCTTCGTTTTTACCATCGTAGTACAAATTTCAAGTTTACTTTATCTCAGGATAGGTGAGAGCAACTAAAAATCTTATCACTGTTTATTTAGTTTACATTCTGATAATCTCTAATGTAGACCAGATGTGGAAGCCATATTTTTGCTACTTCATTCAAACGTTTTACGGCAATTTTTTTTTGAGTTTATTCCAGGGTTCGTTTTTGAGTAAGAAATTCTTTTCTTAGCTATCGCGTTTGTTTTTAGTTTTAATTTTTTTTTGGAGCATTACTAACTAAATTAAGTGTATTAAAATTTTCAATCAGTTTACCAAAAATCAGAAAAAGTCAACTTACTTTAAGCTAAATTCTAGATTTAATAAGGAAATATTTGACACACTAAAACAGAATAACTGTTCCACCTACAAATCAAAGTTATTAATGATGTTGCTACGTGAAAACATCTTACAAAATTACATATTCTAATGGAGTATTTAGTAACCCTACTCTAGTGAAGTTAACTTTTTATAAATATTTGTGGGGCCTTAGCGGTAGCGCACTTGCCTCAGCATCAGAAACAAAAGATCAAATAAACACCAAAAACTGCTGTCAATGTAGAAACTTTGCAGCGTAGAAAATGATTTTCCAAAAAAATAAAAAAGTAATTAAATTATTGATTAAAATATTTGATATATATTATAGCCTTATTTTTTCAATCATTTAAATATGTTTAGACTAAGGTTCCAAATTTGATAAAAACCATGGATCCAAAGTGTCTACTAAGTCTATCAAAAGTATGACTAAGTGTCTAAACTGTGTCTATTCGAACAAAAAGTAAGAACTTTGTTTAGCGGAGTAAAGTAAAGTTTATGAGCAAAGTAACAGATAAGAAAAGCTCTTTTCAAGTAAAACTGAGTCAACTTTACTTAAAGCGAAATAGAATATCAAATTTTTCACATGAAACAGGTAATTAAAATATGCCTATGTAGAATTATTTCATTTAAATCCAAAAAGGGTTTGATGTTCTATTGTGCCAACAGAAAAAAAAAAAAAAAAAAAGTTCAACTTTTTTTTTAGATTAAGAAGCTAGTTTAAAATTAACAAAGAGCGAAATGTTTATTTAAATATTCAAAATTTGCGTTACTAATGAAAAAAAAAGTACAACTTGTGTTTACTTATTAAATAAATATTAATTAAAAATTAAAGCAGACATTTTCTACTTTTCTTTTACCTTTTCTTTTAAAAATTAAAAATTAACAGTAGTCGTTTTTTGAGTAAAATACAAGGTTACACAAAGATTCAAAGCAACGCATTATAAGATTTATAACAATATTTTAACAATTAAACAATATTACAGTATTATTAAATATTATAACGATATTATTACAAGTTTAAAAAAAAAAAAATTTTTGTGTAGGTAAAAAATTTAAACTAAACGTGGTTATATTTACTATACGTGGTAATATTTACCATTGAACATGATTATATTTACCATAAATGAACATGATTATATTTACCATAAATGACGCACATAAATGACACTAATGAGAGGACTTTCATTATATTTAATAAAGGAAGTATTGTTTTAATTTTTCTGAGAAAAAGACTACTGTTTTTTTACAAAATAAAACGTTTTTAGCAACATTTAAAATGCTCATTTTAAACCAAAACAAGCCATGTTGGCACAACCAGTTTGTAAAAATTCTCTAGAAATTACTGACTGATATTTTTATCATTTGTCAGTAAATTATTCTTGCTTATTAGCTTTTGCTAGAACAGAGAGTTACTAAGGAGTATTCTGCCGTGCAGCCAAATTTTTTTTTTAAACAAAAAGAAAAATAGCATATACTTTTTTGCAGACGAAAAGATTTTTTGACAAGTAATTTTGTTTGTTACAGCTCTGAACACCTGGCTACATTAGAAAATACTGTTCTAAAGAAAACATATCTTTTTTTTAATTTAAGAAAGAGGCACCAGTGAAGTTTCAATCAAGAGTACAAACACAATGAGTTATACTAACCCAGTCGGCATTCAGTCCGAAAAAGCCATCTTTTGGACGTTAAAATAACATCTTTTCCAAACCAAATGCCCTATGGCTGGTTAAAAAATTACATTTGTATTTAATCATTGTTTCTTATACAAACAACATTGCACTGCGCGTATTTCTGATTATTTATTGATGTCTACTTAACCAATATCATTAGCTTTCTTCTTTAGTAATATTACTCATAGACACCTTTAGAACTAAATACACACGATGTAATAAAAAAAACATTATCGAAGAAAAAAATATCCTGAACTTTATAGCTAATACAAATATTTTTTTCCGAAACTTAGAAATTTTCAATTTTAATCAACAAAAAAAAATCATAAGAACATATAAAACGGAAATTAGCAAAAAATAAAGTTATTGAATAAATAAATGTTTCACTATTGCCGGTAATATATAAAGCATACTTTGATAACACTAAAATAAAGAAACGTATTATTTTCACCAATTAGTTTTACAAAAAAGAACTAAAGTGTCAAGCTTAAAACAAACAAAAACGCATCGTTTAATGGTAAAGTATTAATTATAGAACGGCTGGTCAAAAGGCTTTTTATACAAAAGCAAGGTTAGCAAAAATACATTAATGTAAAAAAATAAATATGTCTATTCAAACAAAAAATAAAGTAGCTTCATTAACGCAGGTGAAATAGAGTAGCTTCATTAAAGCAGGTAAACTATAGTAACCTCGTATAGGCAGGTGAAATCAAAGTTTTATTTATTGCTAGAAGTTCCAAAAGACCTTTTACATGTTGTATTTATTTAACTATTAGTAAAATGCTCATATTTTATTGATCTATTTGATTTGAAAAAGTATAAAATCACAACTTACTGCTTAAACTACGTTTGTATAAAATAATACAACTCTAAAAATAAAAATGAACTTCATATTGCTCGTTCTATTTGCTTCTATCCTAATCTTGGTTCCAACTGCAGAGAGCTTTGCTGGAGGACGAGGTGGTAAAAGGGACGAAGAAACTGAGGTATGACGATTTAAAATTATTGAAAACACTTTTCTTTTTTAGCTTCGTTTTATTTTCAAACATTTGTATGAAAAAAGTATAAATATTATTGATAACATTTTTATATATTTTTGGTTAATTTTTTAATAGTTTTTATGTCGTATATATATATATATATATATATATATATATATATATATATATATATATATATATATATATATATATTTCTTTTTTAGACAGATAAACTACTTGAGGCAATTTCGTATATAGACTATGGCAATTATAGAAACCGAGACTCTGGCTACAAATTTCAAAATACTAGGCGAATTTTAGATCGATGCTCGGTATTTTGCGATTTCGCAAATGATTATTATGACGCATGCGTTAAGCAGTGTGAAAAGCAATATGGTCTCACAAAATAAAATGTAGCAAGGATGTTGTAAAATGTTAAAATATCATATGTAAAACTGACGTTTATTTTATAATGTATTAAACTTTTTTAAATTAATTTTATGAAAACTTCTAAAGTTTTTGTTAAAGCTTAAATTTCTTCCTATCTTACTGATTAACAAATGAAATGATTACTTACAATTTTTTTTAGATCAAATGGAAAAAAATTACAATACTTGATTTACATTTGCCATAAAACATAAATCTAAAATTAGCGGAACGACTCCCTTTTTTTTCTCAATATTATTTTACACCTTCATAATATTTTATTTCATTACAACTCCGTTTCATCACAATAAATAAGTTGCAAAGAATAAGTTGCATAAAATAAGTTGTATAAAAACCTCGGCATATTCTAAGCCACTTAAAATATGCCGAGGTTATTTCCTGTTTAAGATATAACGTGTTAATTAGGGACAACTGAATAAGCGCGAATTTCATAAGTACAAACTATCATAAGTGCAAAGCAGATGCAGAAACTTACACAAGTGCGAACTAGCATAAGTGCGAACTGACATAAGTGCGCCGTATAAATTTACAAAAATTGGCATAAGTGCGAATTAGCATTAGTGCAAACTGAAAAGTGATACTGATAAGTGCGCCGAGAAAATTTGCAAACATTGGCATTAGTGCGAACTGGCATAAGTGCGAAATGCCAATATCCACTCAAGCAAATATTTGCAATTTTGTTGGGCGCACTTATGTCAAATTGCACTTAAGCTCGTTCGTACTTTTACCAGTTTTTATAACTGCTTCACACTTATGCCAATGTTTGCAAATTTATTCGGCGTACTTATGCCAATTTGCACATATGCCAGTTCACACTTATGCCAGTTTTTGCAACGCATTGCACTTATGCCAATTCTCACTTATGAAATCCGAGCTAATTCAGCCTTTCGGTTTATTATTATTACAAATATCAAATATCGAATAAATTTCCTAAATACAATTTTTACTTTTTCTTCTATTATTTAACAAGGAAAGCTTTTAATTGTTTCTCTACGGTACTAAGGTTGTGTGATTATGTTTCACACTTTTGTTTTTTTTTTGTTATATAATTAGGGTCAACGGTATACAAAAAAAAAATTAGTAAGATTTTTTTTTCTACAGACAGTTTGAGATTTCTTGTTTTTTGTGTGATATATCTGTGTGCGTTAATTAAAGAAGCCGTCGTAAACTTATATTACCCTTTATGAAGAGTAATATAAGTTTACCATTGATAAAAAGACAATAAATTTTGTATTTGTTATTTTACTTATTATTGTTATTTTTTAATAATTTGTTTCATCACTATATAAACATTTTAAATATATATAACTTTAATAAACTTGTTAATAGATTTATAAATAGTAAAATAAAATTTAAAATAATGACAGGAGCAAGCAGTCTTATTATCAACTTTTATTATTATTATTATTATTACGGCAGTCTTATTATTAAGCCCCTTTCATTCTAAATTTTACAATAAGTTTTTTCGTGAGATAGAAAATCAACAATATTAAAATCATAACAAAAAATAGATAAAAAAATAAAACAAAGCCATATACATTACGATCTCATATTTTTTTTTTTTTTTTAATTACAATCATTATTATATATTTCAAAAATAAATAGTATTTACATGTCTACAGTTTATATAAATGTATACCACTCATATTTACAATATCTTAAGAGCGTAAAACAACTTTTATTGTAAATATGTGGTGGTATACAAATAAATGTATACCACATATATTTACAATATCAAAAGATATTGTAAATATGAGTGGTATACATTTATTTGTATTTATTCATGCGCGTAAAATAACATTGTTAAATGTTGTTTTACGCTCGTGTGTTAAATGTTAAATGTAAAATGCTGGATATTAACTCACGCAAGTCCGTCGCAATTAACATACGCAATACGTCGCATTAACATACACAAGTCTGTCGCAAAGACAGGGCTACTAGAGACTTGCTTGTAGTTGTCGTTGAAAATATATATGAATATATTATAATAATACCATGTAGTAGTAAGAAAACTCGCAGAAGAATACTTTTTATCGAGAACCTTTAAATTACAAAATAAACTAAAAATTTAAAAAGTAAATTTATAAAACACAACTTTTTGAGGTTTACTGTTTAGTAATATTTTTAATGTTTTTTTTTTCCTTTTATTTTATTATTTTTATTTTATAATTTAAATTGTTCTTATTACATTTTATTATATTAATTGTTATAAATGAGTATAGAATAAAACTATCTGTATTATAATATAATAAATATTAGTATTCATTATGGGGCAGAATGGAATAAATTATTTTTAATTAAATTGTTATATTTAATTTTTAATATTCAAAAATAGGACAATTGTTTTTGGCGTCAGTTTAGTCAAATAAATACTGCTTGACTGCTGCTTTAAAAGAATTCAGTGACTTCATGTTTTTTATTTCTTTTTTATTGATTAAATTCCATTGCTCCGGTCCTCGGGATTAGATAAAAAAAGCCAGCTTTTTAAAGCGAAATCTTCGAAATTTATTGTTGTAAAAAGAGTACTTTGTTGGATATTTGTGATCAATGATGGAAAATTTCGAAGTATTTTGGTAGAAAGTTAATTTGCTATTCAAACATAAATACTAAATTTTAAAAGAGGTTAATTCATAATATTACGAGCTCTAATTTCCCTAAATAAAGGTTTGATGTGAGAATATCTGCTAACGTTGCATACTGTTTGTCACGCCTGCTTTTTTTATATGTATATTTTCTTAAAAAAAAAGAGTATATGCCATCGTGTTAAAAACCATTATAGAAAAGAGACGTATCGGACAATACAAACTTTTTGTTTGCATTTTGGAGATACAATCCTTTTCTAAAACGGGTGCGATATTAAACATGATGCCGATTGGTTTGGAGATTTTATGATTTTATCGATGTGAAAAATATCTTTTTCACATTGATAAAATCATAAAATCTCCAAATCAATTTGGAGATTTTATGATTTTGTCAATGTGATGTATGGATTAATGAAATTATTTTCAGGATTTACTGATTCATTATTTATAGGTTTATTAGGATCTGAGACTGGAGAAGTTGAAACGGTAAATTATCAGAGTTAGATGGTTTGTGAAATTAAATATATTTGGTTTTCATGATCTTAAATAAATGTTAAAAAATTAATATCAATGGAGATTATTTTGTTATAAAAAGAAAAGCGTCTTATTTTTTTAATTGTAAAACATAAAACTCAAGTTGAATCTGCTATCGAATTAGACAAAACAACTCTATCAGAAAAGGCTGGTAAATATATGGAAAGACTAATGCATATATATGGAAAGATTAATGCATATATATAATGCGGATATATAACCACTGCGGCCGTGGCGCAGTAGTTAGACCGCATGCCTCATAAGCAGGAGATCCAGGTTCGAAACAAGGTGGGGACATATTTTCGACGAGACCGTTAGGTCTTCTAGGAGCACCTTAAAAAAAAAAAAAAACTATATATATATATATATATATATATATATATATATATATATATATATATATATATATATATATATATATTTATATATAAGAGGGAACAGTCAACTGTAGTTTAAACTCAGTTCAGAAACAAATTGAATTCATTTTCTGGTGAAAAGTTAAAAAATTTTAATTTTACAAGAGATTTCTTACTATTTAGTAGCGCTAAAAAAATTGCCATTGATAGCTATAATTATTTTTTATCACTAAAAACAAACTCGAACGCCAAACTCAAAAATAATAAACGTATTTATCATAACCTCATAATTCTAAAACTTATTATAAGTAGATAATTATAAGTATAACATACTGTCTCGATTGTTAAAAATGCGCATACCCTTAATATTGCATAAATATTTACTAAAAAAGGATACACTCCTCCTGAGCATTAATTAATATTTGTCACAGCAATGTCTGTCATACTTTTTTAGTTGTTAAGGTGGAAGTTCACGCCTCTTTCCGTTCGACATCGAAGCTTTTGGTTCTGAGCCAGAATTCTAACATTGTTGTTTAAACGAGGCATTCGAATAAAAAGGATAGTAAAGGATCGTCCGTGAACTACGCAACGTTAAATTTATTTAAAAAATAGAAGTAGGAGATCTTAAGCTCTGCTAGGGAAAACTTTTGTTCTCTTTTTTTGTTTATAAAAGATATTTAGTGTTGCGTAATTTATGGACAATCCCTAATAAGAATTTATAAAATAATTCATTAAAGCATAAAAATTTAAGATGGATAAAAAGTGATATACTTTTGGCGAGGACGCGCCACGCTAGCTTTACAAGCTGAAATGTTTGACAAAATACTTTTTTTAATAGTAAAAGATCTCATCAATAAATAACAATAAATATTGTTTATTTAAATTAGTTTTGTTATTTAACTGAAGATTACATCGGTATATTTGAATATTACGCAATATTCTTAACGTAATAATTATGACAGTATCGAGATAATTATATTACTTATTGTAATAATTATAATAGTACTGAATATAATTAAGAAATTGTTTTGGATTTTAAATAATATTGATAACTTTAAACATTTAGTCGCACTTTTCTTTAAATCAGAAAGTTGTTAAAGTTTACTATTTTAGAGTTCAAACACTTTAGACGCCTAAATCTCGTTGTCGCGACCTATATATATCAAGTGACATCAAACGTCTGAGAGTTCTATCAGCCTGAAAAGCGTCTGAAATTATATCGACGCAATTTACTGTTAACTGAGACATTTTACTAGCGTTTTTACGCTTTCTCATTCATTATTAAAATATATAAATAATAGCTTCAAACTTAAAGATAAACAAGTTACTATCTAAGCCAAGTAAAGTGAAATCACAAACCTAGAAATATAACTGTTATATTTATAAAAATAAAAAAACAAAACGATACGAGAAGTATTGCAATTATATATATATATAATATATAACTTTATTAACAAGGTGTTTATCAATTTAACAATGTTAAAGAAATTATAAGTATTCAGAACTTTACAAATTATAATATAAATAAGAAAAAAATTTACATAAATACAAAACAAGTAACACAAAAATACTTGTTTATTTAAAATTTCTATCAGGCCATAAAACTGGTGCTAAAAGCGTCCACATAAAAATAGCAAAACATGCCCAGCAAGATACAACTTTAATCCAAACAGTAGACCAGCTGCTGATTAATGTTTTGGAGTCAGAATTTTCAGGGCTAAAGAAAAAATAATTTAAATGAATGAAATGCAAAGAAGAGCATTAGAAAATAAAAAAAATTGCAAGAAAAGAAGATGAAAAATGGAAGTAAAAACATATAAAAAAAGTAAACAAAAATAATAAGAAAAACGAAACTGATAAAGGCATACCTATACCAGTTTGTAAGCATCATCATAATATATAAAGATGCGAGCATAAACGTAAAATGGAAATACGAATAATTATAGGCTACTTGAACTTTTTCATTGTCATAAACATTCTGACCTATCTTTTCGCTTTCCTAAAAAAAAAACATAAAAAAGAACATTAAACTTTTTTATTCTAAGGAGAATAAAATGGTCTAAGAAAATTTTCTCGATGATTATTGGGCTCATTTTTTAACTTTATTTTAGAACAAAAGCGTAATACCAACACATAAGGCAATACGTATCGGAAAAATTAATAAAATTCAATATTTCCGGTTTAAACTAATTTTGATAATAGTTTTTCACTATTGTTATTTTTATTTTGTTACTTTAGAATTTATTTGGAAACTACAAAAACGTATTAAAAAATGTTTATAGTATAAATAAAATTTAATTTAAAATTGCGCAGTCCGGGAAATAATAAAACTTTTCAGAAAATAGGTTTTAAATTTATTTTAAAGTTAATAAGAAAAATTTAATTAATGTTAAGTTAAAAAAAATTGAGTTCAAAAATTAATATTAAGTTAAAAATATTTATTGAGAACAGCATACTGATTTCAAATATACAAAAAATTTATTGAGAACAGCATGCTGATTTTAAATATACAGTGATGTGAAAAATATTAAAACCAACACACAGTGGGTCAAAAATCACTTTTACTGAACAAAACTAATAACTCTTCATATAAAAAAGATTTAAGAACCATTTTTGCACCGTTTACTAATTTGAGGATTGCGGTATTAATGGTAACATTATTTTTAACCTTGGGTTGCTATGGATACCTAAATGGCTTAGCAACAACATATTTGATTACCTTAACAAATATTATGTAAATAAAGTAATAACTTTATTTGATTTCTCTCATAATTACCACATTGAGTATTTTGATATTACAAATGTAGTGGTACTATAGATTTTTTATTTGGTTGATAGTGACATCTAAAATGCCTGACGCTTCATTTTGCATAGTTACAAGCTTAATTAACTTTTCTCCAAGCATCAATGTTATAACTAGAATAATATGGCAGTCTGATTAAAAATTATTTTATGCATTTAAAAATTCAACACATTCCCAAATTACTAGTTTTAAGTATTTTTATGCAGTTTCAAGTAAAACTGCACTTTTATGAAGTTTCTATTTTATATTTCATGAAACTACGACATAATTCATATACCATTTGAAAGTTATTCCTCAAAAAATGCATGTGCACCATTGATTTAAAGTTTTTTTGCATCAATTTTTTTCGGTGATCTAACTTTGTGTTCACGCTATATTGATTGCACTGGGTAAACTATATTGCTATAGGTTTTACGGTTTTTGGTGTTTAATTTGATGTGATTTAAAATGGAAAATAACAATATAAACTTATCTTATAAATTGCTGCAAGCATGATATTGCAGTGATATAACAAAATAGCCCAAAATTTCCTTGATTGGAACTATAACTTTTTCCTTACTTAATCAGTAATAAAATCAAAGGGTTGTAAAAATTGTTCAAGCGCAAATCAAAAATACTTAATAACAATCATAAACCTTAAAAATAATACTTTATTTAGTGATTTTTAATCAATAAATTAAAAGAATGTCATGACAGTTGAAGCTTTTATACAATTTTTTGTGTGTAGACTTTCAGTTTGTCAGGGTAATAGTAATCCTATTATAAATTTTGAATAAACAGTTTAAATTTTCATCGCAAAGATAAAAAATCATTTTAAATCCATTTTTGCTGATTTAACAGTTTTTTTTTTTTTTAAAAAAAAACAACCTGTTCTGATTAAGGAATTAAAATATTCTAATTTAGGGCACCAGTTGCTTGATTGGAACAAAAGGGTAGTATTGCTAAAACAAATTTATTTCCAATAACAGTGTAATCAATTAAGTCAAACTATGGTTAAAAGTAAAATAGGGTTGTCTGTTTGTATTAATCAAAACATAAATGTTTTCTTGGTTAAGCCATCTTTGGGTAATAAATATTTATTCCTTAAGTGTTCCAATTAAGGCAACTCTCCCCTATATGTAAAATATCTGCACTATATTTTTTGTATGTCTGCACTGTATTTTTTGTATGTCTGCACTATATTTTTTGTATGTCTGCACTATATTTTTTGTATGTCTGCACTATATTTTTTGTATATCTGCACTATATTTTTTGTATGTCTGCACTATATTTTTTGTATGTCTGCACTTTATTTTTCTAACTAATGTATAAAGTTACTAACTTATGCATTTATACATTATGTAATGTATAAAGTTACTAACTTATGCATTTATACATTATGTATAAATGCATAAGTTAGTAACTTTATACATTAATTAGAAAAATATAGTGCAGACATACAAAAAATATAGTGCAGACATACAAAAAATATAGTGCAGACACAAAAAATATAGTGCAGACATACAAAAAATATAGTGCAGACATACAAAAAATATAGTGCAGACATACAAAAAATATAGTGCAGACATACAAAAAATATAGTGCAGACACAAAAAATATAGTGCAGACATACAAAAAATATAGTGCAGACATACAAAAAATGGAGCAACAAGAAAGTATGGATATACAGCAATAACATTAAAACATTTTTTCTTCAGATTCATCTATAAGTAAAATAAGTAACAAACTTTAAATATTGTTAAACCTCATTTTCATCACCACTTGCAATTAAAATATCACCCATAGCATCATCAGATTTAGCAGACAAGTTATTTCCATTGCTTGTACGCAAACACGAGTAAACCACAGTGCAAAACAACACAACTGCTGCAAATGCAGTTTGACCACCAAAATTTTGAACAAAGTTTATAGAACTACCTTCAAAGAGCACAAATACTATTAAACAAAATAGATTATAATTACATATGCATATAATTAACAAATTTCAAACCTGGGTTACAAATTGCATCAGGCTCATTAGACAAACCAGACCAAGTTAGATATGCAGTGTATGCACTTATGCATGCTGCCTGCAACAATCCAGAAGTAGATTGAGCCTCTTGAATGGTTGGATGAACTGACATAAATGAAACAATAACTGACAAAAACAAAGTGAAGCTGATAAAAAACTTATTCAATGAACAACCAGAGTGCTAAATAACAAAAAAAAAAAATTAAATTATATTTAAATAAATAGTTAAACATGGTTTCTGTTTACATTAAGATTATCAATTCTAGTTTAAAAGTGATTTAACTTGAACAAAATAAAAATGCCATTTATACCTTTTTAGTACTTTTATTTTTTTGGCATTAAAGAATGTTTTAATACTGTATTAATATAATAATTGTAATAAGGCATTAAAGAATGTTTTAATACTGTAAAAGTATTTTTAACAACAAACTGCATAGACATTTTTACATATTGTATAAAACAATTATTTTAGTTTTCTTTAAATTTTTTTTCTTCTTCCAATTCCATCTAGTGTTAAGTACCTTTCTGTACTATGAAAAATGTAAAACGACAGTTCTACTTGATCAGAAACCAAATGGAAAATACTTGCTTAGTGCATAACTTATTTCTAACCATCAAAAAACATTATACAAAATTAGATATTATAATACAAGTTGAACCATGTTTTCCTTATAAGTTGTCAAATAAATTTTGTATCTCATTTGTTGTCTCTATAATGCAGATGAAATCTATTGACTTTGTAATTATCAACTGTAATACAGCACAAAAAAAGAAATAAAAAAGAATCTTAAAAAAAAAGAAGATAAAATTGAATCCTAATATCTTCATTGCAGCATAAACAAATGGCAAAACAGACATTGTTATAATGTAAATGTTTTAATTATTGTTTCAATGAGATACATTGTATATTTAGAGTTTATGGTGAAAAAAAAAAAACTTATTTAAATATCATACCAGCTACCAGTTTGATATATCAAAAGCAATAGAGCTTACCTTAATGCATATATCCTTCACATATATTAAAAAATCAAAAGTGCTAAACTAAATCTCGTTTTCCTACCTGCTGGAAAATCATTGTACACTAATCTTCCTGGTAACCTTATCGTTACTCTATTCACTGATGATATGCCTAAATACTTCAGTCATAACTAAAAAGTTATCTCTCTTCTGCGACAACTTGGGGTTAACTGTAGCCAGCAAAATTTAATGTCAAAAAACTCGTTAGTAATATTATTGATATTCTACCTTATTTTTCTCAAAAAAAAAATAAAATGTTAAAAAAAATATATATATTTAGAAATATATTTTTCTCAAAACGCTGCAAAGCAATTGGTCCTGATATTTGTCACAATATCAAAATTATTGCACTAACCGATCTATGCTAGTAACTGAAGTGTATAGCTTCAGAAAATTAGATCTTTTGAATTCTGTTGTATGTGTTAATATTGATAGCAGATATAAATCTCTAAAGATTGGCATAAGCATGCTTGACCCATCAGCATTAAAATTTCAAAGAACCAGATGTACACCAGAATCAGCAAATGGATCATACATGTTTCAAAATGTAAAGGATAACTATGGCAATCTGTAAACACTTTTCCAACAAATAAAAATTTATGCTAAAGCTATTTCTGCATTATATGAAACATTAATACCAATTTTTGTTTAGGGGGAAAGTTTAAGGAATTATTTATATAAAAATTTAAATGTTTTAAATTAGAAATTAACTGATAATAAAAATAATAATAAAAAATATATATTTTAAAACAAGTCATTAGAGTTTTTAACTTTGTTTTAAAATAACTATAAAAGGTTTAAATTAGTTTTTATATATTTTTTAACTCCTCTGTCTTTAATTTTGTACACACATCTGCAAAAGAGTTAGAAGTATTTATAAGAAAATACTGAATAAGATTTAATTAAGGTACAAAAGTTGTATCTTTTATTTCTTTTATTTAAAATATTTGAGCAGCACTAAATTTCTTTAGACTGTTGTGATTGGTTGTTTTTTAATAATTATATTGTACTTTACCGTTACCATTCTGCCACCATTTGTAGTTTATAAATCAATATCATGTCTGTACAAAGACTGGTGTGTAGGAGGACCACCAAACACTGTATTTACAACATTCAAGTCGGGTTGAATAGAAGAGAAACAATTTATTCAATAGCTCACCAAAGTACTCATACCAGCAATCAAATTAACCCCAGGTAATTAGTTTGATCTACTTAAATCGAGTAGTTCAATCAATTAATCAACTAATCAAATATTTTTTAATTGCAGGTATTTACATTTAGTCTTGGAGAAACATGTCACACATGTTACTTACGATGTTGCACGTATTTGAATTGACAATAACATCAGGCTGATATTTTTACTGGTTCATTCATCCAACATACTTCAACCATTAGACGTAGGCGTGTATTGTCATTTTAACACGTTCGCTGTCGAGCTATTATAAACTATGCATTATTTCTTTAAGAATTGACCAAAAGTCAAATCCAAAAGAATGTACAAAAGCAAAACCAAAACAGGGAGACGTTATAAGCAGAAGCAGAATGGGTGTAGTGGTTGCTAAATGGAAAGACAAAAGAGACGTGCTAATAATTAGCAACTCATATGATTGAAGTGACAAACAGGAGAGGAGAAAAAAAAATGAAGCCCAACATTATTAAAGATTACAATCAATGTATGTCAGGAGTAGATAAAGCAGATCAAATGGTATTGTATTATAATTGCCTAAAAAAAACAATTAGATGGTATAAAAAAGTAGCACTTCATCTCTTTGATATCTTTTTCTTCAATTCTTACTATCTAAGCAGCAAATATGGAGTAGAAAAACAATTTCCTTGCTTAAGTTTAGAGAATTAGCTGTTACAGATTTATTGGGTGAGTCTTTAAATGAAATTGTGCCTCGAATCACCAATAATAGCTTTTACTACCTGTCTTCAATACCACCAAATGAAAAGAAAAAATTGCCAAAAAAACCATGTTGAGTCTGCTCTAAAATAAAATGTAAAGAAACATGATATGAATGTTTGTGAAAATAGACTTCTGTTATGTATTGGCAAATGTTTTAGAATATATCATTCAAAAGAATAGGTTTACACTTTAATTTTCATGAAATAAAATTAACACAATATCAATACTTTATTTTTATCTGTTTTGAGCTATTTTTGTATTTATCCACATATAAATTAGGTTCCCAGGTTTTTTTTAAAAAAAAAACTGAAATGTAATCTTTTCTGAAAAAAAACAACAACAGACAAAGCCGATCATGTACAAAAATTATTTGAAGTTAGTATAACTACAAGTTTACTTGTCAAACTCATGATGCCGGCTTACTATGAGTACTCTCGTAGTTAGCAAATATTAAACTCTTGTGAACTACGAGTATACTTGTAGTTGGTAAATAAATGACACCAACTTACTACAAGTACACACATAGTTGGCAGTGAACAGGTTAAACAAGTTTGGCACAAATTACATACAGAATTTTATGCAGCTAAAAATTTCAACAACATAGCAAAATAAAATTTGATTTTAACTTGCTTTCAATAGTTTCTGGATCTGATGAGTTCATTAAATGTGTAAATACATCAAACAAATTGTCTTCCTTTGAAGCCTTGCAAGTGTGATGTAACCAATATCTTATAGTGATTTTGTTGCAAATTTTTTGTGCTTTTTTACCCAAGGCTTTTACAGGAACAGGAGAACTTGAAGTAATTTCTCCTCTATGTGCTAATATATAATGGACTAATGCTTGAATTTTAAACATGGGTCACATCATGTCATGAATTTTAAACATGGGTCACATCAGATAAATTAAAAATTGTCCCCTACCTTTTAGATTTTGCTCATTTTTGTAAACATTATAGAGTTTATGAAAACTAGGAAATTCTAAAAGTTGGAACCCCCAATACTTAACAGATCTTGAGATATACAGGCTTTAATTTTCTTGTTTATGCTGATTCAGTATTTTTTGTGAAGTGTTTTTTTTTTGTCAGCAATATTTAATGTCAGCAACATATTAAACTGGAATTTTTTGTAAAATGGAGTTGTTTTGAATGATTTTTTTTCAAGCTCCATCAAAATTTTCTTTTCAATGTTTTTGAAACAATCAATGAAGCAAAAATGATTTTTAATCTTAAAATGTAACAAATCACACTAACATTTTGGGATTTCTTATTTATATCTCATCTATATATTTACATGATATCTTATTTATAGTCTTAACTTTTGCCATGATTCTATTTTGTTTTATTCAAATCGAAACCAATATTTTTTTGATTTTTGTCCGCCCTACGTCTCACTGTTTATGGACATTTTTCTATTTTATCCTTAAATCAAACTTTTTTATTAAATGAAATTCGACTTTTTAATCAAGCACTTCTCTTAGCAATACTAAAGTAAAGGTCACCTAAACAATAGGAACCATTACAATAACCTATCTACATGCCATTCCCAGCCAGACAAAACTGCATGACAGAAATATTTTAATAGGATTGGCATATGATTGTTTATCCTACAATAAATCTTAATAAAATTAAAAAAAAAGAACTGAAACTTTTAAACAATACACAAAATGTCTGTTGTAAACTTTTAAATCATAAATTTGATTTTGATAATAGATTAATGATTTTTCATAAAACTTTTCTTTTTAGATTACAAAAGCCTTGTATTCACCAAAACAATATCTGATTATTATTGCATGAAGCAATTTCAAATTGCAATATCCGTCTTTAGATTTTACATAAAAATGCTAATTACAAAAAAATGTTCATACAGGACACCTAGAACACATTAAAGTTTAACTACGCAACTTTTTGTACTTATTGTAATTATACTAATAAATAACAATTAAAATTATACTGTAAAGTTTTGCAGTATATTTTATTTGTTAATATCCAATGAAAAATGTCCAACTGAGTGATATCAAAACATTGATTTTAAATATAGGAATTGATGAGAATGACAAATCATTTAACTTACACTAACTTCATTGTAATTATACTGTCAAACTATAATTAAAATTATACTTTAAAGTTTGCAGTAACATAAAAGTTTCATAGAACAAGATCAAGATCCAAAAACACAATTTAAATGTAATTGGCTCAAGCCATGAAGAAAGAGTTTCAGAGCTCTTTCTTCATGCTCCAAAACCTTTTGAAAAAAATTCATCTCGCTTTTTTTTCCTAAAACATCATTGTGTTAGAATTTTCTTCTGCCTTATTTATATTTTCCTACCTAATACTATTTGCAGTTTTTAAAGTCTTCTGTCTACTATTTTTAACTCTCTTTTTTTATTATCTAATAACTTCCAACTTATATAATTTTGTTTGCAGCCTTGTTGAAAGTTATTAAAAAAGTAACAATAATTAATAAATAAAATAATTTCAAAACTTACAGCATAAGATATATAACAGTAAATAATAATTGCGATGGCAATGATGTATAAAATACCAGTACTCAGAGCAAGACCTTTAAAAAAATAACAATACATTAGGAATCAAAATTATAAAATATTAGAATTCTCGGTTAAACAAACTAAAACAAATAATGGCTTAGCATTATTTCAGATTTAAATAAAATAGTGTGAACAGTAATATTTGTGTAATAATGACAGTAATATTTACATGATGATTTGTGTGGTGAGTTGTGTGAAGTGAAAACTACAATAAATTGTGTGGTGTGTACACCACAATGAGTTGTGGTATGCATTGTATTATTTGTTCAATAGTGATTTAAATGTGACAGTTTAAAAAGTGCATCTGTTTATTATAATTTTCATAAATATAACTTATATAAACATTAAAGTTTACAAAACTTAATTTTACCCAAATATGCCATAATCCTCATAAGTTTAAGCCTGAGTCTTGAACAAAGTTCAAGTAAACAGGTTTTGTTAATAATTAAGGTCGAAAGTTTAAAAATAATAAATAATAATGGTTCAATAAAAATAAAAAAAGTTAAGGCTAGTTTGAAGTGTTAAAACAGTTACTTTTGACACATAACAAAAACTAAAAAACATTAAAATAATCAATTAAGCAATGATTTGAAATCATTTACCAATGAACCAAATCTTGTTTTCACTTTCCTCATAATTTGTTATCCTAATAAAACAAAAAAACAAAATATTAACTTAAAAAACAAAATAATAACTTAAAATACAAAAAATTTATAAACTAAACTATATTATAACTAATTAATTATAAGTAAAATATTTTTTTACCACTTTTCAGACCACCTGTGGGCAAAATCAATCAAAAGAACAAGTTGTATCAGTATAAACAATATACCACCAACCAGTCCAAAATACATCCATACTAAAAACAAATTACCTACCTAATTAGTGTAATCATAATCATAAAAAAAAAGATTGTTTATTAACAAGAATAATTAAACCACTAAGATTCAAATAATATTGCTTGGAATTTTTTAATCAAACTTATATCAAGAATTAAATGCCTTTAAATATTAACTATCTTTTCATCTCCAAGAACTTATAGCCTTTCTAATTTAATCTATTTTAATGCAATTTAATCAGAAACTGTGAGTTACGACATAAAGAATGTTTATTTAATGATAAGTAAGATTAATATATTTTTATTTTTTTATCTTTGCTATTAAAAAATAATTGAAAGATTGAGAGATAAGTAGCCGTGGAAATTTCATTATATACCACATAAAGGTTTGTAAAAAAATATTTTACTATATTATTACCTTTTGAGAAATTTCCCTTGGGAATATAAAAGGCACCAACAAGCAAACCAATAAAAACAATGAATTTAATTGCCCAAAATCTAAAAAAAAAAAAAAAAAAAATTCAGGAAAGACTTTTTTAGATAATAAAATAACAAAAAATAGCCTGGCTCTTAAAAATATTTGAAAAAGAAAAAAAAATTATAAACAACAATTTTACATTTCAAAATTTGTTTGATTGTATTTAATGTATTAAATAATTTTTCGATGATAAAAATGATCAAAAAAGTTTAAAGTAATGGTAGTAAAAAAATGGTTGTAAAAATGAGTGGTCAAACTTTCTTTGAATGTGAATAAAATAAAAATTTTTATAAGCTAAATAGAACTGATAACATTTCATTGAAAATAGAAAATTTTATTATAAACAAAACTATTATTAATGGGGAATTATATATGTTAGGGTGTTCCAAAAAAATTTCCAAATTGTTGAGCCTTCAAAAATTTTTAATTATGAGTAAGTTTTAATTTTATGGACTTTAATTGTTAATAGTTATTGTAATTGTAAATAGTTAACCATTGTTAAAAAAAATCTTTCTATGACAGTACCTCTGCAGCTTATGACAAGTTTATAACATTAAGGTCAAACACCAGTAAGTAAAAAACATAATATTGTAACAAAAATACAAGATCTGTAACAATAGTACAAGTGTTTAACAAAGCATCACTAAGTGTTTCTGCATTACTTTCTGTGACAGGTCATCATGCTTCACCAAATGCAGATTACAGGCAGTTTTAGTTTAGGAAATGTAAAAAAATGTTATTGGATTGTGTTTTGAAACCACAGCTTAAAAAACTGGCAAGTTTAAAACACTTGTATATTGTTAAAGGAATTGAATAAAACTTACTTTACTTATAAACATCATATGCGTGAGGTACTCCTGTCTGATATATTTACATTCTTCTTTGGACTATTATTAGGCCCAAAAAATTCAAACATCCAAAAAATTTAGATAAAATAGGATCAAACTTAACCACCATAACTCATTTCATTAAATTTCATTAGTAATAGTACCTAATAAAGTGAAGTCATTTATCCACAATTACTTAAAACAGACAAATGTGAGGACTACAAGTTGCTCTTTAATTTTGCTGGTTTGTATATAGGTAACATCGAATGCAATATTCAAAAGGTTCAATATTCAACAGCAATTAAAAAGTTGGGCAAAAGATGACAATATTGGACAATATTGGACATTCATGGTACTTATATATTCATTGTAAAAAATATTACTCTGTGGTAACATTTACATTTAATAAAACGAACTACCAATCAAAATTTTAGATGATCAAATAACACAAAAAATCTTTAAAGACAATATAATTGTGAATTGAATAGAAGATGGTTTATACATAACCAACCAGTTGATTAGGCAGTAGTAAGCGACTGGGGTTGATATTTGACTGGGCCGGGTTTGATAAAATAAACATTTATATATCCTAAAGTATTTTGAAAATAAATTTGAATTTGGAAATAAGTTTGAATATCACTAACATATACAAATAATGTTAAAACATTTACTTCAAACTTACAAGCATACTTAGCGTAGTTAAGGAGAAATCTGAATAAAAATATAGCGTTTAGGCCCTTTCTTTTTCAAATAATGCCGTTTTATTCCGTGTACATTTTAATTGTTTTATTTTTTTATAAAATCATGAAGCTCTTTGTTTTGTTTTGTTTACAAATATTTGGTGATTTTATTATCTACGAGTTTAAAGTTTTAGCTTAATACTATGGGGCAAAAGTTATATGAAAGCTGAAACGTTTTTGTTTAGTAATTTATTCAAACGACTATAAATAGCTTTTATGATATTGCCTGTCCCTTTTAATGTATTTTAGTGGTAGTTCTGTTTTACTTGATGCTTTGGTTAAATAAAGATTTATAAAAAAAAAAAAAATCATATAAGAAAGGCTTATTCTACTTTTTAAAAATATATAACAGTAATAGTCAAAAATAAGCGGAAAACACAAAAAATTAAAGTTTAAAAATAAATTATTTTTTTTTTAAGAAATGCAAATCATTTAAATCTCTCCTTAACTATGCTGAGTATGTTTATAACTTATTTAAAGGTAATTTTTTGGATACAAAACACAAAAACTTTGAAAAAAAAAAAGTATATATGTAAATATACATATATCCAAATATATATATATATATATATATATATATATATATATATATATATATATATATATATATATATATACACATTGTATATGTACCAATGTATACCCGTTTTGTATGCTTCCTCTAGGGTCTCTGCTACTTCGTACTTTGAACATTATAATGGACATTAAAAAAAAGAATGCAGTCATTGCAAAACAAACTCTGTAAACAGCCATATAACCAACCAATTTATCACAACTTTCCTCTCCAATCTGAGAACATAAATGTGGAACCTTGTTCAATTTTTGACGGATTCCTGGTGATAGCATAACACATGACATAACAAACCCAATAAGAAGCATAAAGACATAACCGATTCTTGATGCAGTTGAGTTTTTACAAGATGGACAAGCTTTGCAGCATAAACTGCATGCTGCTGAACCACAACAGCAAGCAAGCTAAAATAAAAAGCTAAATTTATTTATATATATATATATATATATATATATATATATATATATATATATATATATATATATATATATATATATATATATATATATATATATATATATATATATATATATATATATATATATATATATATATATATATACATATACAGTAGGGTGTGTCAATTTTAAATTTTATTAAACTTTTTTGAAAAAAAAGTTTGATAAAATTTAGGGTATAAGTAAAAGTTGCAAAATTTTATAGAGATCTTAATCTGTTAAAATTTTTTAAATCAGAAAAATATTTAAAATATTTACTTAGGTGATTAGCCTTCTTATGAAAGTATTAACAGTTTTTATTTTCTTTTAAACGGAATAATGATGTTACTGGACAATAATGTACGTAAAAAAAAAAAGACTATTAAACAACAAAACAAAGTTACATTAAGTTTATAAGTATTTGAAAAAGTTTTTTAAATTATTAAATCCGTAAAATAACTTTTTTTTAACAAAAAAAATTTACTCAAACATTTTTTTATCTTATCAATGGTCAGTAAATTATTTTTTCATTGCCTCATTAAGTAAACAACTGCGAACTGCACACTGTTAAATATAAATTTAAGAACTTTTAATCGATTACTTTCATTCCTAAAATATTTTTAAATAATTTTTTTTTCATTACTAAACAATAATAAACTCTCTTTAAATATTTTATAACTTGGAAGAATAATGGCACCCAAAACCAGAATAAGTACTAGTACGCAAATTAGTGTTGCATTTGGTACAGAAAAACAATTTCTAGTTTCAGAATTACCAACCAACAGAGACCTTATAAGATATGCAATTTTATTAAGAGAGAGCTGCTAAGACATAAAAAAAAAAGAAATTATCCTGTAAAAGAGATGGCCAAAGATATACTTCCAGCCTTATTACACCAGCAGCAGCTTTTGATAAATAAAAGCTAGTTAACACACTGTAGATAAGAGCTACAAAAAAATACCCAGATTGTAGGTCAACATTTAAATTGGCATTGGTAGACCTAGAATTGGCATTTGTTTTAAAGCACTTTATCTATTTACATTATCAATCCTAAGTATAAAAAATGCATTTGGATGACTAGTAAGTAACTAATGTTATCAAAAGAAAAAGATTTTATATCTAAGACATAAAAGCAGTGTGTCGTACAAGGAGACATCATATCAGACTGGTTTCACATGTTTAGTGGGATTCCTGAGGACTTGGTTCTTAAACTTTCATAAATAACTTGGCATCCCAAATCTAAAATAATCTAAAACTTTTTGTAGATGACACAAAAATGGTTGAAATCATTAAATACAAAAATGATTCAATCAGTTTGCAAAATGTTATCAAACTGATATCAAAATGATGCCAAATATAGCAAATATAAAAAAAATGGAAGTGATCATTAGCTCTGACTTATTGTGGAACCAGCAAATCAACTCTGTAATAGCAATGTCAAATCGCATAATGGCTTAAAAACTTACTCAAGTACCTTAACATTACCATTTTTAAGATGCTCTTTGCGTCAATGGTGAGACTACATCTGGATTATGGTGCTTACATATGGAATCCAAATAGAATAAAAAATAATAAAGCAATAATGTAGTCCAGGCAAGGAAAACTAAACTAGTATGAGAAGTTAGTGGTAAAAATATGAGGAAAGGATTCGGTGCCTTGGTCTGAAAACACTGGAAGTTGAATAAGAGAAGACCAAATATAACAAGTCAAAATTAGAATTGGGTTGAATAAAATAAACTTTTATTGAAGTTCAACCTAAGAAAAACAACCAGATAACAAAACAATGCAGATGTCATACACAACCTCTTTTCAAACAGGATAGTGAAATGATGGAATCAACTGCCAGTGAACTGTCAAAACTCAAAACAACAAACATTTTAAAAAACAATTTTGACAATTTTACAAAAAATGCAAATTTACAACTAATATGAATGATCTTTATTTTGCCATTATTCCACATTGTCATTGTAGTCTGATAACAATAAAAATAAAATTGATGCAGTTACTGGGACATCTGAAAAATCATCTATTTTCACAAATGAGAATATTGATATTATACCAGAATATAAAGGTATTTTTAATAGACCTAAGATTGGTATGTTTAATGACTGTATCTTTACATAAAATTATATAAGAAACTATATAAGTCATTAGTTTGTCAAGAAATAGAAAATTTTACACCTTTTTTAAAATTAGATTTTAAAGGTGTTAATAAATCCAGATCTTAATGAAGCAGAGAGATCAAATATGATGTTGCTTCAAGAAAGAAAAATTAAAAACAACGAATTACAAGCGAATGGAAAACTCAATTTGCCCTTTCGATACTGCATTAGAAGCAACACCATTGTTAAAATCAATATTTCAAAGTTTACCAAACAGAATTTAAAAAAGTAATAATAACACCGGTAAATGCAACTACCACATTAATCCTAAACTCAGTATAAATCAAGCTCACTATAACAGCAAAACAAAAGTTAAGCAATATTCTTTTAATACCATTGGCTGTGCTTACTTCAATGCTAGATCGATTAATAATAAACTACACTACCTACACGATCTCCTCAAAAACAGCAATCTTGATATCATACTTATTACCGAAACTTGGCTAAATAAAAATACACCTGACTCATTATTATTGAATGGCAAGAATTTCAAAGTATATTGATATGATCGAAACAGTAAAGGTGGGGGTTCACTTATATTAGTGCGCAATAATATCCATTCACTTCAAGCGCATCTTAATATCATGACTTAATATCATAAATTGAGCAAAAAATACGAATTTTTTGCTCAATTGATGATGAAATCACCCTCCAGGTGCAATCATCAATTGATGAAAATCACCCTCCAGGTGCAATCATCAGTACTTTAAAAACCAAAGCTTTGTGCAAGTTAATTTACAAAGTTACCTCTACTTGCGATTCTACATGCATCATAGCAGGCAACTTTAATCTGCTACTTATAAACTGGTCTATCCCAATTAGTTTCGGAGCTTTATCTCATGACCTATTTGTAGAAATGTGCTTTGCAAATGCATTAACCCAACTTGCACCTGACAATACTCGACTTAATAACCTTCTAGATCTGGTACTAACCAACAACTCTAAAAATGTTTTTAATATTGAAACTATTGCCCCATTCACAAGTACCTGCAACAGGCCTTGTTAAGAAGCGTTACGCAGCTCGCATTTTGCCTGCGAAAAGGCGATTTGCCTACGCGTTCAGCAGTTATGCGTAACGCAAAAACTTTTATCTTTTAGAATATTTAAATGATCTTTTTATATCGTTTATGTGACGTTTATTCAGAAGTATTAAAGTCGTAAGTAAAAGAATTTAACCGCAATTGTAAACTAATAGATTTTTTGTTAAAGAAACAATTTGTTTAATAATTTTTTTTTTTTGTTTTTAAAAATTACTTAAAGAAAATAAAGTGTTTTAAGTTTAAACTTTTCATCATATTTAATTTTAAATATTAGATTTCATAAGTTTATAAACTTTATTCACAAGTAATGTTTATTTTATATGTAATATATTTTTTTTATTTATTTATAATTTTAAAACAATTTTTTTTTTTCGTCCCTTTAAGAAAGTACTTATGATGAGCTGTAAAGTAAATCATTTCCTCATCATCAACTGTTGAGACCCCGATGCGATTTTACGAGTTGTATGGGAAAAGGTTTGTTGCCCCCCCTCCCTTCATTTTAAGAGAGGGGAGTTAACATTTGACTAACAGTTAAATATTTTTTTTGAGACTTTTGAAGGATTTACTCTCCTTATTTCATTCATAAAATTGCGCCTGGCTGGACCTGTCGGTAATATGTCAGAAAATTTATTTGATCGAATTTTTTTTTTTTTTTAATAATTAGTATTTAGAAGTAAATGGTTTTTTTAGTGTTAAAGATTCTTTTTTGCATACATTTCTATTATCATTAATTTTTTAGATTGATCATAGAAAGAACGTAGATTAGAATTAGTTTATGAGCAGTAGATGAATACTTACTAGTCATGTTCTTTAAAAAAAATTGATGATAGATTTTTTGCTTTGTTTAAGCATTGATTAAAACTGTAAAGTAGTATGAAACTATAATCATATTATATAAATGATTGAAACTTGTAACTACCATTAGAGAAAAATAAATAAAAAATCGTTTTATTTCTTATAATTTTAAGCAAAAATGCTGTGAGATAACATTAATCGTCAATTTATAGATCAATTTCTTTAAAAAAGAAAAACTTTTAAGGAAAAAGTGGTAATATATGCGGTAGTGGTGTAGTGGTAGAGCGCTCGCTTCATAAACGAGTGGTCCTGAGTTTGATCCCCACCACGTCCCTGGTAGTACCGCGCTCAACTCGTTTCTCCGCGCAGTGGCCTTGTTCGTCAAGGTTCGTGTTTCGGAGTTATAGAGTTGAGAGAGGGTTATAGCCACAAATAAGTAGCCTCCTCGTCTGTAGTGGCCGTCTCGGCCTTGAGGAGGTGAATTAAAATAATAAAAAAAAAAAAAAAAAAATTGAACAGGGGAAGAGTACGTGTCCCCCCCCCACCTCCATTGTATCGTCGGGTTAAGATGCATTGCACTGCTAACTCCAGCACTCTGGGTTAGGTTGCAAACGATAGTCCAGATTTTGGTACTTGAGTATTTCAACTAAAATTAACTTTTATCAATGGTATTTATGGAAAGGTTAACAAAAGTATATTTAAAACAAATACTTAAAAAAAAACAGTAATATTTAGCAAAATCAGTTGTTTCCTATTTATAAAAATCTTTTCTCTGTAATTACGATGATATTAGGATGTTGTTTTGGTGATGAGAGCTGTTACATTTTTCACAACTAAATTGGTACTTAGTTAATAACTATCGGGAGAGAAAATTTTTTTTTTTTCCATTCAGGAAAAAATAAAGATATATATTTAATTAAATTTTAAAGTACAATAGTTATTACACATAGTTAGGCTGCCTATTTTTTAA